ACTTACATGCTGCTGCTTGTAGCAAATAAGCCAGACACATTTGAAAAACAGGGAAAAGTAGTGATTATGTAATAATATAGAGAGACAGCACTAGAGGAATCATAGTATCTGACTCCTTGGCTTCAGAAGTGCCTTTCCCCCACTTCTGTGAACAGTGACACTACCTTTCCTTTCTTTCCATGTTTCCCTTCTTGGCTCTGGATCCCTAACATCTGGAGATACTTTCTGGCAGAAGAAACCCGTCTTCGTTCTCTCAGCTGTGGGTGCTGGGCATACATATGGTTAATGGCAGCTGTGCTCACAACTGAGGGAGGAGGGCTGGTGGCTTGCAGTGTCTGCCCCTTTCTTTCCCTTTCTCTCTCTCCGTTTTCCAGAAACCGTCTTTCTGCTTGGCGCCTGAGATCTGAAGACTAGAGGCGGAACTGCTGGGCTCTCCTCTCTTGCCTTCTCACAGGGAGGGGCAGTATTTACGTGGAGGGGGATGCTGTAGACGTCCAAAGACAAACACAAGCAGTGGCTGTGGCAGCCTATCATCCTATCCCCAAGGTAGGTGCCAGCAAGTTGGACAGTGCCAAGGGTAGGTACTTAAAACTGTTTGAAACCGTGCAGGTAAAGGGACAACATTAATCTGAACGGGGGGGGGGTTGGGGGGGGATGAATGGCCAACTCTGCCTGGAGTATTTCTTGAAAGTCCTTATGGAATGCACTGCAAAGCTTGGGCAGTGATGCTTTAAATGCTCCAGAGGGCGGAAATAGCCTGGGATCTGCCTGGATTGCCTGCCTTCTGTTATAATAACAGATACCGGTAGGTTGCTTTTCTCTCTCTCCATTCTACTATATAACTTTGTTGGTCAGAGATCTCTATATAAGGTAGATGTACAGAATGATTCAAGGTTCACATTTACAGCAGACAAGTCTCATCCTCTAGTTTTATACAAATTCTGCTTTTGAGGAATTGTCAACTGAGGACCAGCTGGGGCAGTCGTGGATGCATCATAGATGCCCTGCCATGGGGAAGAGATACAGTAATTGTCCCTTTGAATTTGATGCCTATCAACACAGTTCCTGAAATGTAGCTGCTTCACCCCAAATGTCCTTTCTGTGTTTGCCAGAGTATTAAAAGTTGCTAAGGCTGAGAAGATTTTTCTTGCAGGCCGTGATGACTTTATATTCCCAGGCACTACTGGCTGCTATAGCAGACCCTTGGGAGATAGCAAGTTGCCAGAGCGAATCGGAAAAAACAAAACACAGTCTGAGAACACATCCTTGTATGCACTTCTGGACTTCTCTCCATGCAAGTCAACATTGGTCAGGCCTGTGGTGTGCTGTCCTGTCCCATCTTGTCTCTCTTTGCGTGTATACAGATCTTTTTAATAGACAGCAGCTATTTGACAAGCATATATTTATGGGGATGATTTTCTCTTTCTCCAAGATCAATTAGATAGTCCATTTGCTGCAGTACTGCTGGCATACATTTTGTGGGAGACTTTGAGGGCAGAATGAGAGATGGACACAGTATATTTATTCAGATTTCTTGTTTTCAGCATTCCAAGGCTTTGGGACAAGTGGCTTTAGGAAAGTACAATGGAAGCTGAATATAATCCCATTAATTATGAAAGGTAGTCAAACAAGAGCTCTTTCTCAGTCATAACCACTGCCACTTAACATCTGCCAAGCAAAGGAGTTCTTACAGCACATCTCATAATGATGGGTTCGGTCCAGAGAAAGAGAAATTTGAAGAAGCTACTAAGAAATAGGTTCCCCCTCTGCGTAGGATGCTACCGTATATGGAAGCTTGTAAACCTATATGCAGATGTTTTTCAATTGTACCAATTAATATATGCTGTTCTCGGGACATCAGATAAAGTCTTCCTGTTGAAATTAATGAGAACTAACTCCCTGGGAACCTACTCTTTGCTTCTTTGAATTTCATGGTGAAATACAATAGGAAGTAATGGTGTTAATTAAATATGTGAAAACCTTACTCACATATCAGGGCTTTGCATAAATGACACATGTGCTTTCCTCCGCAAATCCATTTCATGGCCAGGATTTTCTTAATCTTACAAGCATGCATTTTCGGATTGAATACTTCTTACTTTTTCTTCCTGTTGTTGACTTGATTTCCTGGTTGCAGTTCATATGCCTATCTGCATTTTTGCATAGTATGCAGTATGCAGTGCCCATTAGTCATACTGTGAGGATATGTGTAAGAAAAATTATTCTAAGCTATACAATGAGTAAACTGTGTGGTGCACCTTAAAAAAAAACATTTGTGATATTTTGTCCTGTAAAGGCATACATGGATATGTGTGTGCAAAGTACACCAATCATGCATAGTAGCTGAACAGTACCATTTAAACGACATGAGAATGTATGTTAATGTTTTACGATGAGTTAGTTAATCTGATGTCCATATAAGCAGCCAGAAAAATTGTAGTTTTATATTGAGACTAACATTTCATTATCCTCAAAGCCTCAATTTTGGGAAATTCTTAGAAGACAACTTTCAAAACAACAGTTATCGCTAACTGTGATCATCAATGCATTACAGTATACAGTTAATGGTATGTTCCTTAATCAATATGAGAGTATTTACAAATTTATATATTGATGACTGAAGTACGCCTGAGCTTGCTTGTGTGTTGCGTAAATGTGGCCTATAAAAGTGTGACTTCTATTTGCAGCGGACTACAGTTGTGTTCCTTTGACAACATGCCATGTTATTCTTTTCCTTAAGAGATACCACTATTTCCATGAGAATCTGGTAGATCCAGATCTTGAGCTAGCTGTGTGGTATAAAAAAAGATATTGAGCCTCTAGAAAGAGCGCAGAGATGAGCAAAAAAGATGATTAGGGGACTGGAGGCTAAAACATATGTAGAGCAGTTGCAGGACTTGGGTATGCCTAGTTTAATGAAAAGAAGGACTAGGTGTGACATGATAACAGTGTTCCAATATCTAAGGGGCTGAGACAAAGAAGTGGGGTTCAACCTATTCTCCAAAGCACTGAAGGCAGGACAAGAAGCAATGGATGGATACTTATCAAAGACAGATCTAACCTAGAACAAAAGAGGAATTTCCTGACAGTTAAAACCATCAGTGGAATGACTTGCCTCCAGAAGTTGTGGGTATGCCAACACTTTGAGGTTTTTAAGAAGCGATTGGACAACCATTTGTCTGAAATGGTATAGGGTTTCCTGCCTGAACAGTAGGTTGAACTAGAAGACCTCTAAGGTCCCTTCCAACTCCGTTATTCTGTATTTCTTGGGGCCTTTTGACCACAGATTTTAGGAAATGTCAATTTTGTCTGGTACTATTTTGTCTTGATTTATTATAGACTAAGGAGTGGGCAAGCTTTCAATCTCTGCACATTTGTATACTGCTATGTACATTGCTATGTATTTTGCCTTGAAAGACTCGGATGAAAGGCAATTAAGAGGGAGTGAATTTCATTATTGCATTGGAATGTCTCAGACACAGTTTTTCTAACAGATTTTTAGAGCAGAACAACGTGTGGGAGAAAAGTACCCATCTCAATTTTCTCTGGGGTCTTTTTTCTCATTTTGTAGGAAAGTTATTTAGGAAGCATGTGTCTGGAATGTCCAGCTTCCATTTTTCCACCGCAAAGAGGTAGAGGGAAAGCAATTTGCAGGAGGAAAAATGGATGATGAGGAAGTGGGTTGAACCATCTCTCTCCCCCTCCCCAGTCATATTTTAACCACAGTGACTCTTAGCTTATTTTTCCTACTACCCTTCTCAACAATTTTATCCATGAAAGAAAGCTTGGACACTCAATGATGGTTATGTAATATTATTTGGTCAAGTGATGGTTTCTTGAAAATAAGTTCTATCACCAGCTCTGGTAGTAGTTCTTTTTCAAAAGTTGGATTCACCACCACCCTGACTAAGCCTCCTGCCACCAGTTTGGAAGCATTCGCAACTAGAAAGAATAGGGATCCAGACTCTAAATGGCAGAGTTGATATCGCAGAGAATCTTGTCTGCTTTCTCTAGACCAGTAGATTTAAACTCATTCCAGATAACCTCACAAGACATAGTCTCACTTCGGGAGCAGTTGTCCAGCTGGTATTTGAGCCCTCAGACTGGTTTTGTCCAGCAGAAGTCTAGAAAATTATTCACAGTGTTTTTGCAGATGGTCTTCTACTAATCTTTCCCTAAAAGGGTCCATATTATTTTGAGAGTGGTTGCTGTATGATAACACAAGCAGAGAAATGATTATGACTTGATACTTTTACTACTACAGTGTAGGTTTGAATGTGGGTTGCTATCCATGTTTGGTCAGATACACTCAGTCTTCTGCCAGTAATGCTCTAGGCTTCCTCTAAGTCAGTTCATCTCCCAGAGCTCTTCAGTAAACTAAGGATTTCCCCCTGGATTGACAAACTGGGAGAGACTGCATAGGCACAATCCTTTGCAAGGTTTTATTTGCCTCATTCCAGCAGGTGACTAAACCTTCAACAGAACTACCAGTCAGAATCTCAGGGAACTCCCTAACTGCATTCTGGAAACTGAATGCTTCTGTTAGACACCTAGAGTGATCGTATAGGTCCTCCCTCTCCTTTATGAGCCAGGTCCTCAGTGATCTGGGACATTCTCATGGTGGCCATGAATTACTAGTCTATCTCTGACCCTTTGTTTGAAGAAGGCAGATTGAAATCCCCCAGCACCACAAGCCCAGAGAATTCCACCACCAGCCTTGTGTTAATCATATAATTTGGGATAGTACAATAACAAGAATCCTCCGTTATCCTTTGAGTGCAACAGTACAAACAAAGCTTCACAACTGGTATTTCTAGTGCTTTTGATTGAATATTGCTCTGGAAGGGAGGCTCTATTTCCTATGCATTGGCAGAGAATCAGCAGAAATGAATGGTGAGCATGGAAGTTAATTTCCTGCCTCTTGAGCATCTCCAGCAGTTTTATTGGCCTGTTTTCTCCAACAGGACACAACGCCATGAAGGGACCGCTGGCACACAGTACTTTTTGGCTTATCTGCCTACTATTCCAGGCTTCTGGAAATGAGAAAGAGGCGGAAGAGAGGCCTGGAGTGCCCACGCGGCCACCACTCTGGGATCAGACGTCTAGGTGAGTCATTACAATAAAACCAATATGTCATAAATAACACACACAAACACACACACATGCCTGTTCTCTTGAATAATGGAAGCTGATCACAAGGGACCATGTTTAAACAGACCACATATCTGGTCAGCTGTTCAGAACTGTAAAACTTTTAACCAGAATGCTGACAGTTGAAGAAAACACTTCATGGTTGTACTTCAATGCCCAATTAACTTCATTAATGTGCATCTTCTATGTGCAGTTTATGCACAATTAACTCACTCTGTCCCACTTTAAATTAAGCCAGAGGCTGCTGGGTGCAAATGGCTCTGGAGGAGGTGCAAATGACTGCAAAAATCCTTAATGGTTGAATCATAGGAACACAATTAAGGATCCTGTTTAATCAGAGTGAACATTCTCTAGGCATCTCTGTCCTGGAAAGGGCCATGTTTGTTTATGCTAGCATCCACACCAATGAACTCCTTTGCTGTCCAGCCTCCATCCAGTCTTAATTTGGCCTGATCATTCCTAGAAAATGGTACAGAAATGTTGAGTGCCTCTGTATTCTTTGAGTGGAAAATGGCCTCAGGACAAGCAGGGCAGGTAAGGTCAATCAATCAATTCCAACTTCGCGATCTTTCACGAGAAGTTGGAATTGATTGACCTTTCCCCCCCAAAAAAAACCCTTTATTTCCTTTCATGTGGCAGCGGCGGATAGTGAAGGAGAAACGGCACAGGGCTGGGAGTCAGGTAAGGAAAGAAAGGCAATTTCAGGGGGGGCGCGAGGATTTCTTTCCTTACCTGCCCCGCTTGTTCTGAAGCCGCTTTCTGCTCAACTGCATTGCTCTTGCCAAACACTTCAGCACCCTCCCTCCAGGAGCCTCTGGCACTCCACCTGCTGCTTTGATGGCTCTGTAGGCAGAGCTGCAAAATTCTCTGTCAGAGAAGAGAACTTCGCAACTCTGCCTACAGAGCCACCAAAGTTGCAGCTGAATGGGCAGGTGAGGGGGGAAACTGCCCCGCTTGTTCCACGGCCGAGCTGCATTGCAGCAGCATTGGGCGCAATAGGCGAGGCAGGAAACAGCCACATCACATTGAAACTGGCCATTTGCCGCCTCCTGCCCAATGCCGCTGCCATGAGGCCATGGAACAAGCCAGGTGGAGGTAAGGAATCAGTATACTGGTTCCTTACCTCCGCCTAGCTTGTTCCATGGCCTTATGGCAGCGGCATTGGGTGCGACACGGAAGGCGGCAAATGGCCATGGCCAGTGGCAAACAGCCACGTCACGCCAAAACCAGCCATTTGCCGCCTTCTGCCCAATGCCGCAGAACAAGCTGGGCAGTGGTAAGAAACCGGTATACCGGATCCCCCCTCCCCTTCTCCGCCTGTTGCTGGAGGGCTGGCCCAGTATTCGCAGTGGTTTGCAGAGCCCCAGAGTGCGCTGGTTGAGGAGCCAGCAGGTTGTGGTTGCTGACGGACACAGTTGGCCCCCATGCACTCGCTGTGGGGGGGGGCGGCGATGGTGTCAGGCAGCATCCGCCCTGGCCCCTGCCTCACCTTGCCTTGCCCTGCGGCAATGGCATCCCTGCCCTCACCTCACCTTGCAGGATGAGTTTCCTGCCCACCATCCCACCCTCCAGAGACCCACTGGATCTCCCTCAACCCTGCCCAGCCTCCACAGGCAGCCCTCCCCATAAGCAACATCGAGTTGGTCATGCCCACCCCGGCCATGCCCACCCAGTCTGTCATGACTACTGCAGCCACACCCACCCAGTGGCCCACGCCCACCCGGCACCCGACGATAAATAAGTGGGGTTTGGGTTGCAGGGTGTTGGCTATTCCTGCCAACTTAGTATCATCTGCAAATTTGATAAGTTCCCTTTCTGTTCCCTCATATAAGTTGTCTTTTCAGTCTGGCCAATCAATGATCTGTTTCCACTCCCACCTCCATAAAATGTCTATTCTATTTCATTTTTAATGAACCTGGGGAGGAACTGAGAGCTAGAATTTCTTTGTTTGATTATTATAATGTATACAAAAGCTATAATGGTTGACCCGGACTTAGGGGACAGTATCCATTGTGAATACGTGCAGATGGCCCTGTTCTCTCTGACCACTTGCAAAACCATGAATGCAAGGTCATAAAAGGACAGCAAAGGAAACACCCAATATCCTAACTCATTGAGGGCCACATCAGCATTGCGGTTCCCCTTGGGGGCCTGGGTGGGTGTGGCCAGAGTGGGTACAGCCTACTGGGTGGGTGTGGATGGAGTGGGTGTGGCCTATTGGGTGGGTGTCACCAGTTCTATATCATTCGTGTCAAGGGTGCCTGTCAGGGCCTGGGCAGGAGTGGGACAGATCTGAGGGTCTCTGGCAGAAGAGGGTGGGACCAGGGCAAGTGCCAAGGCATGGTCCACTGGAGAAGCCTCACTATTCCTCTCAGGCCAGGGGGGGCTGGATGGTGGTGCGGGCTGCCCGGAGCACTGGACAGCAGAGGTCAAATGCCCAGCCTGGCCCTCGAGCACCCGTGGCACCAAGCCCAGCCCTACCCCCCCCCCCCAAGGGGGCACCCAGCTGCACTTACCTCCTCCTAAGGCTGCTGCTGCTGTGCTTGCTCTCCTTAGCCAGGTTGTTCATGATGGGTACCAGGGCAAAGTCAGAGGGAGACTGAATGCGTTTCAGCATAGATGGCCATCACAAAATTGTACATTGGCTCCCGACTGGCTGGCCTGGGCCAGGGCCAAGGCAGTGGGGGCTCTTCACCACTTTGCTAACAAAAGCCTCTTCTATTCTCTCTTTCTGCGTGTGTGTTTTTCTCTCACCCGCCAAAACCTGCTCCTTTTATAGCTTCTCCTCTCTCCCCCCTTCTTCTCCTCCTTTTCCAGGTGGACTGGAAACTCCAACCAGCATGCAGCCGTGCATGCAGATCCTGGGGCTTCTGCCAAGCTCTGTGGCTTCAGCTAATCTTCTCCAGGGCTGCGTGGTGCCACTTTAGCTTGTTCTCTCCCCCGCTACACTTGGCTAGGGGTCGCGTACCACCTGCCAGGTGCTAAAGTACCACCAGTGGTATGAGTACTACCGGTTGAAAAGCCCTGGTCCATAGGATACACATATTTTTCTCAGTCATAACAAATTAAATGATTGGGACTGGAATCATGGTAACTATAATGGAAAAAAATAACATAAATGATTTTGAATCTCACTGTAAACTGATCAAGTCAGTTGAAAGCTGGCTTTGTCTTGAATTGGAGTAATAAAAAACTATCCCAGTTTTCAAATGACAGTTCAAAAACTGTAGTCACACAATCCTGGATCAAAAACTGGTACTAAGCACTTATAGTTTCATAAAAAGTCAAGATTCCAAGATACACTAGGTATCAAAGTTTTGAAGTACACGCACCTCAGCCATTTCAACAAGGACTTATTCCATGGCTGTTTTAATAGTTAAATGAATGCAGACTAAAGTTTTTCCTCAACAGTTCTTGGGTTCTGCCAAAGGACACCTGCCACAGTTTGGATTGAATTATAATCCATACATACTTCTACTCCCAAGGTATTCTTTCACATAATATTTCATTTCTCTGCCATTTTGCTCTCTGGTGCTTAAGTTGGAGGCAGTGACCTACTTGAACATTTAATTATTATATCCTGGCTTAAAGTCTGGGTTCAGGTTTGCAGGATTGGGGAAGACAACTGTGCTAGGTCCTGGTTTCTTGGGATTGAATTTGCTGATTGCTGCCCATAAATTGTCCAGGCAGGGCTCTCAATAATTCCTGTCAACTACATTTAATTTTTCATATTTTGTAAAACAGTGCTATTGGTGAATAGGATGGGCTTATAATACTAAAACTCGGGGGCTGAGTCTCCTTTCCCAGTTCTGGCCCTTTGACCACTGTGTCTATGCTGTTCCTGCCTCCCAGAACTGAATATGGCTATCAGAGACACAGCAAGCAGCCAGGAAGGTCGGAGTGTGTTCGCTGCTGTGATCCTCCTGCAGCACATCCCATGTATTACCCCGTGCCTCAGATCAACATGACCATCCTGAAAGGTAAGAGCCACTGGGCCAGTTATGCTGTTTTGGATTCAAAATGTGAGATTTAGGGAAAGGTTGGCCATCCATTAATCCATGAGCAACATGCATCACAAACATACCTCTGTGGGCAACATGGAAGTTATCATGGATATTAGAGTATTGTGTACATTTATCCATGATCAGTTGGACTGGAGATGTTCTGCTTGCCCTTCTAAGATCTGGGGTTTTTTTCTTTGTCATCCTGGAAAAACATGTATTGTTCCTGCTATTAGTTATTTCAAGTCTTTAAATCGGCAATGTCCTCTGACCAACCTCTCTCCAATGCCAAGGCCACATCCACCCAATTGTTTTGCTGTATTCCTGTTCCTGAGCCAGCAGGAAATCATGCTGTGCTAAATCTTGCTGCCCCTACACATGCCCTTATGGAACTGCTGTCCATACAGCTTTAATGGTCAACATCCTAAGGACTGTGATAGGCTGTTTTCTTGATTGACATCCAAGCTTATCCAACATCATCCATCGTATGAAAAGCCTCCTCCAATGGATATGCACAACACTCTGATTACTGTAGTCCATACATTCCTCCCTATTTCTTTCCTGTAGCTTATTGACTGATTTTTTAAAATTACTTGAAAGTAGAGGTCAACCAGTTGACTGACATATCAACCACTAGATGGCAGCAAAGAGGGTTTTTATCTCTCTTGATTGCCATGTAGTGATCATTCAGGATTGTACAATGAAAATGCAGTTGGGTAAATGCTGTTGAAGAATTGGAGTTTGAGAAAGGGGATTAGCTATGAGGATTGGTATGAAAGCTATAAATTACTCTAAGAAAATCTCTGCCACCTGGCAGAGATGGCAGAATTGACTGTTTTGATTAAAGAAAAGAATACAAGTACCTTCATTTCTTCATGAAGCCCGCTTCTGGACTTTGTACTTGAGGTGGAAAAAAAATGAAACTTTGATTTTGGGTTTCACTGATTAGATTGATTTGATTTGTTGTTACAGAAATGGCTAGTTTTTATTATTGCGAAAAAATAAAAAGTTGAGGCTTGACGTTAATGCTTTATTCTGCTGCAACAGGGGAAGTCAGAAGTCAATCTTTTTTTTCATTATTCCTCCTTTTTCCTCCCTTTCTTCTCCCTTTTTCCTCCCCCCTTGTATCTTACTATTTGCTTTAATAAAATGTTTAGTAAAAAAAATACTCTGTGAAAATTGTATGAAGAAAGAAAATTAGGAGCAAGTGCTTAAGTAATTCCCTATCATCCAAGCTATGGAAGTACAAAAAATGAGTCCTTTCAATAATAATTTGAGTAATCTCTCTTATGCCAGGGATTAGTTAAGGTTTCACACTCACTAAATAAACCAATCCACTGGTGGCCCAACCCAATAAAAAAGGGGATTATAGTAGTTGGGGTTCTGGTGTCCCATGTACCTGAAAGAAAATTGAGGGGTAGAAGAAATCATCATGGACAGGAAGGAAGCCAGCAGAACCAACTGGAGTCTCCATTTTGTCAATACAGGACACCTAATTTCAGGCTGCCTCCCCCATGTGCACCCGTATTCCCTTTATTTTCCACATACAGCATCTGGAGACAGAATAAGAGAAAAACACCAGAACAAAGCACTGAAAAGCACATTTGAGCCGCCTCCTATGAATGGTGAGATACAGGAGGGGCATGTGGACACGCCCTCTGGAAGTAGTTAGTAGGCTCTCCTCACCCGGATATAAGGCAGTTGTGTAGATTTGTTCCAGGGCTGTGTGGTGAGTTGGTTGGGGCAGCCTGAGGGAACATCATTTACATTTCCTACAATGTCCCCAGCATAACATTGCCCTGGAGCGTTATGAGAAGTTAAAACACCGGCTCAGAGAAATGAGAACATAAATATAGCTGTACTGGATCTAAGTAAGGCATATTGAGCTGGGACTCTGTTCCTATCCAATATTTTTGATTCATACACAAATGAGATTTTCCCACTTCTGTTCTCCAGCAGTTGGTTTTTGCAGGATTGAGAAGCTGCTCTGATCAGGGAGGTAGTAGAGCTATCATGACTAGTAGGCATGGATAGCCGCATCCCCATTAATTTGCTGAATCCCCTTTAAGATATTTAACTCAGCAGCAGCATTACATTCTGAGGTAATGAACACAGCTGTTTGATCAACTTTGGAACAGAGGAGAGAAGAGGACATAAAATGCCTCGTGTTAAAATCAGTTCTATACTTGTAAATCCTTCACACCAGGGGACAAGACAGCCAGGGTTTCTCCATCCATTTTCACCTGGTTTTCAGAATCTGTTCCATCCATAGGGTGGCCTCCATTCTGTCTTAGATTACTACATCAGTTCTGCCTATGGAAGCAGATGGGGAGGGAGCATAGTGCGCAGCCAGAGGGCGAATAAGCTAACAATATTGCAGCTGCCTCGTCTCTTAATTCATGAGGGAATTTCAAAGTGCATAAATTTCAGAGAGCTCTAGGATATGCCCTAACATTTCTCAGTTCCATCATTTCATAAGGGACAGAATCACAACTTATTAGTTGGCATCGGCAGCTCAGATCATGCTTTGAAATCCCTGCCCATCTGACCCGAGCCATTTAGCTGCCAGTTTGGAGCAAAGATGGGATAGGCTTCCAGAAGCCATGGAGAATTGGCTTTTGGAGTCCTGTCTCTCCTAAGTTTTAACCACAGTGTGGAGAGGCTGTCTTTGGACAAACCTTTGGGTTTTGCAGAATCTAGACAGTTAGGTTAGGGAGAAGTTGTGGGGTTAAATAAATTCCTTGGCTGGAAGGAACTGTTATGACAACTTTATCCAAGTTCCTCCCTTAACGGAGATCAAAGGAATCCGACAATTAGTCTTGAGTCAGACTTAGGACACCAGAGGTTGCATTAGGACATGGCCTGATTTAGAGGGTGGAGAGGTTGTGTCATCAGAAAAGGCCCGGGGACTGCTGAATCCTGGGATTTCAAAGGAAAAATAAACCCCAGAAACCAACATTGGGTTGGGCAACAGTGGCAATAGGCAGAAACTTTTGTGCCCACACTCTTTCATAGCCCCACCAACATTTTACTCACATTCCATCCTACACACAGTTTATCTTCTATCTTCTACCAGTAACTGATATTTGTATTTCCTCTACTTACTTTTCAATTTATATTATGTTACTCCTCCAAGCTCTCAAAGCAGCATACATAGTAGGTGTCCACTATTATAAAAATAAAACAAGACTATAAAAGTAGGCTAAGGAAGACTGAAAGTTAGTTATTTTATTTAAGGACTGGGTTAAGCCTGGCTTAATAACTGTGTATGTCCATATCTTTGTCTACATAAATCTGTACCCCCACCTCTTTGCTGTGCAAGTAAGTTTGTTAAAATCTTTAAATTGAATTAATGGAAGGTTTTCCAGTCCAACTCTTTTGTTCTCTCACACGGGGATGCACATATTGTTTATAACATTCATATATGCATAACACAATTCCAGCCCCTTGGCCACTGCAGTTATTCTTCCCTGCTGACTGCAGATTCATTTGGGAAAAGCATTCAGTTGAAATCAAATATAAGTGCTCCTAGCAGGACTGGGGAGTAGTGGAGAGAGGCCAACCAAATCATATGGGGAGACTCTGCAGTCTTCATCTGGCCTATGAGCCAGAGGTTCTTCACCTGAGTTACTCTATAAGTATAATGTATATTTATTGTACAGTTCTCCCTTTTCTTCCAGTCCAAGTCTTTTGACCATTCTAGATTCAAAACTGAAAACTTTCACCTTTTTTTGAACATTTATTTTCAGATTACATATTCAGATTACATGAGTATGTTATATATTTTATCTAATGAATAAAACAGAAACTACTGCTCCATATTTAATATTTAAACTGATTTAGCATAAAATTCAGGGGCAAGTCTGTTTAATATAGAAAAAAATACTCATCGGTTTGATAACTTTGCAGAGCAGACATACTTTCATTTATGCAAGAGAAAGTATTTTACCACATATGTGGTATGTGTCTGAAATCTAGGCCAGGAAGGACACCGTATGTAGTGGTTTTTCCCTGCCACAAGATTGGAGATGGTATATAGTTTTATTAAATGGTAAGCCAGCAAAGAATAGCAGTGGACTGACTGGCACCATTTCAGTTCAAGGTTTTCTGCCACGAGTGGGATGCATGGATTCTTTATCTCCCCGTTGTATTAAAATGTATAAATAGATGTTTAGCCAAGAAATCAGCCATCCTTTTTTTTTTACCACAGTAATAGAAATAAGATGTAAATAGCGAAGAAGTATTGTAAAGTGACAAGAAAAAAAATAGGATTCAGATCAATATTTGTTGCCCAAAGCATTTTGGATACTTTCCACATTAAGGGCATTTTCTGCTGTCTGGTTTGAAGCCAGAAAGTCATTGTACTTTATGAGATCTGTTCTCTTACTTTGGTGGTCCTATAAACTACAACTATCCTTGTAGTTATCTCTCTTCAATTGTTCCTAAAGTATACCTTCACCAATTGCTTCCCTCCAGATGGATTGGACATTAGTACCCTTAATCCTCAATCAGAGTAAAACTCCCACACACCTCCGGGGAGGGAGGCAAACCAGCTGGAGAAAACTGCAATCTATCATGACATCTTTATTTCTCAGGTGAGAAAGGGGACCATGGTGATCGTGGCTTCCAAGGAAAGGTGGGAAAAGCCGGTGCAGCAGGCAAGAAGGGCGAGATGGGCTTCAAGGGTCAAAAGGGCAACATGGGATCACCAGGAGAGAGCTGCAAGACCAACTATGCTGCCTTTTCGGTGGGTCGGCGGAAACCCTTGCATAGCAACGACTATTACCAGATACTCATCTTTGACACTGAATTTGTGAACCTCTATGGCCATTTCAATATGTTTATGGGCAAGTTCTACTGCTACGTCCCAGGCGTATATTTCTTCAATCTCAACGTGCATACTTGGAACCAGAAGGAGACTTACCTTCACATCATGCACAACACAAAGGAAGCAGCCATCTTATATGCACAGGCTAGTGACCGAAGCATCATGCAGAGCCAGAGCCTCATGATAGAGCTGCAGGACCAGGATGAAATCTGGATACGGCTCTTCAAGGGCGAACGTGACAATGCTGTGTTCAGTGATGAATATGACACCTACGTCACCTTCAGTGGGTATCTAGTTAAGCCCAGCTCAGAGCCTTGAATCAACTAGCAGGGGGACAGCTTGTTCCTATCAGCTTTGGCTTGTCCCGTTTTCTGCTGATCTCTAGCACTACTCGATGCGGGGGAGGCACTCACTTGCTCTGAAAGCACCCACAGAACTCGGACCTCGAGATATTCCAAACTAGGATATCTCTTTTTGATAAACATGGCTTTTCTTCTACATCAGCCTTACCTGGTGCTCTCCTAATGCGAAGGACTAGATCTTCCAAGATGCTAGAATTATCCAGTTCCAGTTTTCAGTCTAGTTATGACTGAGACTTTGGAAAGGTGTAATCCAACGTATGTTGAGGATCCCAAATTGGAGATTGACTCTTATTATTTTACCTTGAATCTCATTGATCAAACATCATATCTTCCCAGATTATAACTTAATGTTTGTCCTGATAGGCCTGCCATAAGCTAGGAGTTGTTCTGTTGTATCAATTATCTGATTTCTGGTCTTTCCCTTGCCCAGCATTGAACTTCATCTGTCCTGATGGAATCTCCTCCCTCACAGCTATGAAATTGCACTACCTCTAATTCATGTCCATATTGACTTTAACCTTCACCATTCATTTGTATTCGTTTCCAAACCTTCTCCAGCTGGCTCAGCTGTGCTCCCTGAGAGAGAGTGCTAGATACCACTACTGCTTGTGTTTCTTTGCCCCCATTTGAACCTCTGTGTATATGATTTAAATGCCTTTTTTCTCATTGACGTCTGTCCTTCAGGCTCCCTTTTTCATTTAACCTTTTAGATATTTGAGTTCTCTGCAGTGCGCCTATGCCTTCTTCTGTCTCCTAGCTGGATGTTCTGTTAACCCTACCTAATAATAAAACTCTTGTTATTATTCATTTTAACATTAGTTGAAAAAGCTACATCTTTTCTTTCTTTTGGAAGGCCTTGTTAACTGACCTCTTTATTCAGAAACTGCTGTTTATCTGCATTTGATGGGGATGCATTAAAAAGCATAATGCTAAAGCACTGGTTCCACAACACTACCTCTCTCCTATTGCAAGCATGCTCCCTCTCCTACAGTTCTTGGGCACTGCCCACCGTGGTAATTTTGACTTGGGTTGCGGGGAAGAACTAAGATTGAATTCCTGGCTTCAATCAGAGGTATCTAACTGTGTAACATGTTTTTAAAGTGCTTGTTGGGTGTTAACAGTAGCTTTTGCTATAAATGGGTTTAGCACTCTTAAGAGAGTAGGTTAGTCCCCTGCTGCACAGAAGGTCAATTTAATTATAAGTTTCCTGCTGTGCTGGGTCAATGCAGACCCCGTGTATATTATGAAGAGGCAGAAATCTTCAGCAGTTTCCCACTTTCCATGTAATGATCATGACAACAGTGATGACAATAATGATGGTGGCATTGAATCTTTCCCCACTTTTGGCGCTGAAGAGGGCTGGGGAGTGGAAGCAAATTCCCGTTTTTCCTTTTATTTGGGAGTCCTGGCATAGAGCTTCAAGGTGGTCACGAATGGATCCACTTTCAAGCCGCAGGCAGAGAAATATGATTGGCTGCTCACGTGTCTGGGAGAACTCCACCTTCTTAAGACTATATGCCAAGGACTGTGGCAGGTGAGACAGGACCACAATGAGTGTGAATGATTCAGCGTTGTTGAGAAGAGGGAGGTGTTGCTAGGATATTTCCACTTTTAAAGACCTCTCTTTTGCCTCCTCCTTTCCCCACTCTGATTTGCAGAGAGCATGCGTGATGGCATAGAAGCACTACAGCCCCCTTTCCATGTGGAAATGCCTTTATACCAGTGGTTCTCAACCTTTTTAATGCCACGACCCCAACCGGTCGTAAGTCGAGGACTATCCAACCGGTCGTAAGTCGAAGACTTTCCCTGCCCGGGAGTGCCACGCATGTGTGGTGCCGCCCCCTGTGCCGGCCGAGGCGTAGCTGGCAAGCGGCAGAGACGGAGCAGGCCGACCACCGGCTGGGCCACCAGCTGGCTCAGCCCAAGGGAGGTAAGGCACCCGCCAGGCCCCACATATGCCAGCAACCCTCCCTGCGCCCGCCGGCCTCCTACCTCCCACCCCTGGCCATCTTTTACTTACATTTTTAGTAGTTGCTCAGCAGGGAGGGGTGGAAACTTCCAGACAGCTCACCTTCACTGCAGACAACTTGCAGCACCGTTTGCAGAATGGGACTTTTGGCGGGCTCAGCAGGGCAGAGACAGCCTGGACAATTCCTACTGGCTTTTGAAAGCCAATAGAATTAGACTCTATTCAAGAGAGTCTATTCTATTGGCTTTCAAAAGCCAATAAAATAAAAGGGAGTAGCACAGCTAAGGAAAAGGGGGAAAAAAATGGCGAACTGCGTTGTTTGGCGACCCTCGTGAAATGGTCGTTCGACCCCACATGGGGTCGCGACCCACAGGTTGAGAACCACTGCTTTATACCAAGTAAATACATACACTTTTCCTGTGGATTTTTTTTAATGCTTTAACTGCCTTTCAAGTTCACTGTCTTTTTTGTGCCGTTCTCACATGCAATCTTTTCAGCCAGCTCTGCTTCCCATCTTCTGCTGCTTGCATTTTTCTTCCTGACAGTGCCACAGTTTCCACAGATGTTACACATTCCAAAATATTACCCACTCTTCTCCCTTCTCCATTCTTTTGAAGTGTATTCATTCCCCCATCTGGGGCCCCCCAGCCTCTCTCTTAGTGTGATGTTATAGAGACAAATTATAAAAGTTTCTGCTGGCTGAAGGATTGGAATAGCACAGTATATCCTGAGATATAACAGACTCAGCCTTTGTTATGCCTTCATCCAGTCTCCAAATGCACCATACAACTCAGCTCTTTTGGGCACTCATTTTGGAAGATAGTTTCAGAAATTGAGAGGGGGAAGACCTGGGAAACAATGAGGGATACTAATGAGCAGAACTGTAATGGCTGAGATGATGTAGGACAAAGAAAAGCTGAAATGACTGGTCTGAGTCTCACTTCAAGGCTAGATACTGTGTTCCAGTTTGCCGAGTCCCTTGTTCACCATTGTTGCTGAAATAGCTCATTTCTTCTAATGGACATCAAATTTTCTATCAGGAAAAGACAGTTTTGTGAAAGGCTTGAGTCATTTAGTAAAGGGCATGAGTCATTCTTAATTTGTGCCAGTGATCATCAGTACAGGTAGTCCTCGACTTAGAACAGTTCATTTAGTGACCATTCAAAGTTACAACAGCATTGAACAAAGTGACTTATGACCATTTTTCACACTTACGACTGATGCAGCATCCCCATGGTCATGGGGTCAAAATTGAGATTCTTGGCAACTGGTTCATGTTTATGACGGTTGCAATGTCCTGGGGTCATGTGTTCAGCTTTTGCAACCATCTGACAAACAAAGTCAATAGGGAAGCCAGATTCACTTAACAACAATGTTACTAACTTAATAATTTCAGTGATTCACTTAACAATTGTGGCAAGAAAGATTGTGAAATGGGGCAAAACTCACTTAACAAATGTTTCACTTAGCAACATAAATTTTGGGCTAAATTGTGGCCGCAACTCGAGGACTACCTGTACTGGACCTAGTCACTTTTCAGCTTCCAGAGGAGAGAGATCAGCTTTACAACACACATAAACATAACAACTACAGTGGAGAAGCATTATATGGACACTAAATCTATTGACTTCGTTATTTCTTTTGATGGATGCGCTCCTATTTTCTTGTTCTATAAAGGGTATATGAAAATCTCCCAAATCTACAGGTGAGAGCAGGTTTCACAGTCTCCAGGTAGCACATTATATTGTTTCATGCATGAAAAAATTGCTTGCTATTAGTTGGCTACCAGCAGCTTCAGAAAATGTCTGAAGTAATCTGCTTATATAGGTTCTTTTGCCTACATCAGAGGTGTCAAACTAAATTTCATTGAGGGCCACATCAGCATTGCAGTTGCCCTCTGGGGGCTGGGTGGGTGTGGCCTGCTGGGTGGGCGTGGCCACCTCTACATCATTCGCGTCAAGGGTGTTTGTGCGGGCCTGGCCAGGAGTGGGACAGATCTGCGGGTCTCTGGCAGAAGGGGGTGGGACCAGGGCAAGTGCCAAGGCATGGTCCACTGGAGGAGCCTCACTGTTTCTCTCAGGCCATGCAGGGGGGGCTGGATGATGGTGCAGGCTGCAGAGGTCAAATGCCCTCTTGGTGCTGTGAGGAGAGCGCCCCGCTGCCTGCCGAAACCCCTCCCCTGGAGCCCATCAATATGTGAAGTAGGAAAGGGCCATTTGCTGGCCACTTCCAGGCGATGGTGCATTTCTTCATTCCTCACAAAGGATGACACCTTCCCAGCATGCACCCAGGGGGTGGGGCCGACGTGGCAGGGGCTGGTTCCTCGCTGTTTCCAGACGGCCTTTTGGAGCTAAGGCTAAATGCGTTTCAGCATAGTTGGCCACCACAAAATTGTACATTGGCTCCCGGCTGGCCTGGGCCAGGGCCAAGGCAGAGAGGGCCATTCCCTCATTGTTTCCAGGATGGCTTCGCGGGCCACATGAAACCACTTTGCGGGACGCATCTGGCCCCCGGGCCTTGTGTTTGACATGTCTGGCCTACATTGTTGGTTTGAAACAATGAGTTGAGATGGCTCATGACGCCATGTTAAAAAATCATTGTAAATCATGGAATCCATGTTTGTATCTGCATAACCATACCATGACCAGGTACATACTGTAAAGGTTTTGTATATTTCTGTTAGCTGACAACATGTGGGAAATAAAACAAAAAGTGCATCAAACATCTATCCAATCACCTGTCATTAAATAAACTCCTTAGCAGGTCATTATAGCCTCCTTCATGTAGGCAAACATTTTGCATGCTCTCCTGAAATCATTATGGTATGGCCTGGTGGCTGTTTGCCTATTTACCAAATGGCTGCCATTGTTGTCATCATCATTCATGCAGCACCTTTTTACTAGAAGACAAGCTGTTGAAGTTCTCTCACTATGCTTCAGCTTCCCATCTTCTTCTTCTTGTTGTGTCATATCCATTATCGGACGTTGGTGATCATGTTGGCGATCCTGTTTTTATCAGCAGCTGCATGAAAAAGTGCTGCTGAGTTTTGTCCAAACCAGTCCCTTAGATTTTGAAGCCACGATGTTCTTCTTTCCCTTATCTTATTTTCTCGTATCTCAGTTTTTCTTTATCGTTTTTTCTAGATAGCTACCAGTACATACTTCTACCTCTAACTTTTATTTCCCAAGAATATATGTGAGGCTTATGTGGACTCAGTAGCATTTCTGTGGTACAAATGATGGTGGAGGCTGGTGCTGAGCATCACAGTTGCCCTGTCTCCCTTTTTCCCTTATGATCTAAAAATAAATTAAAATCAGGTGTGGTAGGGATCTCTTGGGCTTCTTCAGTCTTTCAAGTTATGTTTTAGAGCATGCCAGTCAAAAAAATGAATGCTTGCTTTTGCCTTTCCTAAACCACTACTGCTTGTGCCTACTGCTCTCCAGATGTTTTGTACTTAAGGATCCTTAGTCCCAATGTAAATGAAAGGCACCAGTTTGGGGAAGCTGTTGTAAAAACATAGCACATTTTCAAAAACAAGCAGCTAATTATTTATGTTTAAAGAAGGAAGATAGTTATTAGTAAAGCACAAAACGCTGGTAGATTAGTAAGGGCTTGAACTGGAAGTGGCTGCAAAGGATGTTGTTTTCCCCGAAGCTCTGTATAAGCATTGGATCAAAGCAAGGTCTTGGGAGATACATGGAGCTTTGGTAATTTGTTTCCCCATAATATTTGAATGTGTTTCATCTTCTTATAATGCTCCTCTTTCAACTTACTCCACCCAGTAATGAAGGATCCGCTAGGACTGATAGAAAAAACAAATAAGCTTCCCTCTGGGAGCATTGTTTGCATTTCAAGAGATCCAGCCAACTCAGAGCTAGGCTGGCTTTTGGAAAACAGTTAAATCTGAAGGGGGGGGGGGGAAGATAATTTTAGAAAGAAAGTTTTCCAATAGGGGAGCCAAACAGGGCCATGTATCTGAACACTCCAAATCCCATGATCAATTCCCTATAAGAAACTATAAGGCACAGAGGGCTGGTTTGTTGTGAATAAGTGAGTATATGTATATTCTTATGCATAATCTTCTAACTCTCAAGTTATATGTAAAAACTTTGTTCTATATTAGATTTTCATATTTCAGCCTACATCGCGTCCAGAAATGGTTGCAATATGTGTACAGATATGATCATTCTGTAGTATACAAAAATGCAGTCATAATAATTCATCTTTTAGAGGCTCATATGAATCCAAATCTCATTGTGGGAAGGCATGCAATCTAATCTAAGGAAAAATTTAGTAGAAGTGGGAATCTGTTACTTAGAATGGAACACCAGACAAGAATTAAGGTTAAGAAATATACATACTGATATACTATTAGCATTGTTTCAGCTACTTTGTATGTTTAATTTGTTAAAGTTAATTTTCTAGGAGAATTGTGTAAGCTTTGATTCAACAACTAAGATCTTCAGTTTCCAAAAAATAGGGGCAAAAAAAACCCCAAAACAAAATAATAAAAAATGCCATGTGCAAATGATAGACAGATAAGGGACATGTAATTATTTTTTGTTTCTTTTTAACTGTCCAATTTAAAAGAGCAATTCTTGTTCAGCAAATAAATTAATGGGATCGAACAAAATTTTGCATTTGAAATTTTGTATTTAAAAACTTTAAATATAAACGCAACCGGTGTTACACTGTACTTTCTTATACTATGAAATCTGTTTTATAAAAGTATGTTTAAAAGTCTGTGTGAATTTCTCTAAGCAAATTGTTATCAGCAAACTTTTTTGAACAGAACTCTTAAACTATGTAATTGTAATTTGAAACAGTGTGCTGC